GAGGGGGGAGGGGAGGAGGGAGGGGAGGAGGGAGGGGAACAGAGGGGGAGAAAGGGGGAAGGAGGAGATGCAGGGGCAAAGGGAAGCCGCGAGGGGGGGAGGCGGGGGGGGCCAGAAGGGGACGGGGTGGCGGAGGACCCCGCCGGACGCTGGGCAGAAGCGCGCCCAGCCGGCTCGCCGCGCGGAACGAGCCCACAACAACGGAGGGCCCGGCCAGAGGCCGAAACGAGCCCGACAAGGGCGTGGGCATGGGGTGGTCGGAGCTACAACCGAAAGGCTGTCATGTAAAGGAGCCCTAGATCAGGAGCGAGGCCTCTTTGTTCCATACTCCGGGTTTCTCAATAAACGTGGGGGGTACCCCCCCGATGGGGGTCGACCTCACCTCGTCGTCGCTCCGCGACGGGGGTCGATGTGGGGCTGTCGGCGGGGGTGACGCCCCCCGACGCGTATTAAGAAACTCGGAGTAAGCTGAACTTCGATCTACCACCGAAAACCTGAGGAAAACCTAAGACAAGCTGCAAGACCATTGAGAAACACTGAGCCCCTCCCCAACGAAGAGGGTTCCTTCTTCAGCGGCCCGACTGCAGAACCACAACGTGGAAACTGGCCGGGGCTGAAAAGAGTGGAGGGGATGACCCCGGCCACTTCTTCCAGCTTCCCTGCACGCTTCACTCGGGGGCGCGCAAACATGGATTAGCGATCCATGGATTTGGCGCGCGGTCGCCAAATCCATGGATCGGGGGAGGTGCCCTCCCCAAAATGCGACCGGCGCCGCCTCGTTCTGCAGCGGAAATCTGCGATTTCCCATGGAAACGGGACCCTTCGCTAATCCAAGCCCCCTTGATCCATGTTTGTGATCGCCTGATTCACGAATAACTGTCGAAGGGCGGGAGCGGGGATCCTAGGCGAAGGCAACATTCCGAGGGACTGAGCACGGCCCGCTCGAAACCAGCTGTGCGAAGGGCGAGAGGGCCAGTCTGCACCGGGAAGCGCGCAGGAGGTCGGGCAACGCTGTCCACTCAGCGACATCCGAGCAGGCGCGCAACAATGCTCGGCGCGATTTACGAGCAGATGGAGGGGAGGAGGAGGAATGAGGAGGAGGAATGAGGAGGAGGAGGAGGAGGAGGAGGAATGAGGAGAAAAAGGAGAAGGAGGAGAAGGAGCAGGGGGAGGAGGCGGAGGCTGGGCAACGTGTCGGCGAAGTAGGGATCCCCACCGCGCCGTGCGCGGTCGAGCTCCCGAGAGACGAGCAGCAGCAGGGGCAGCGAGAGGGACACAGAGGGAGGAACGGCTGGATGGACGGAATCCTCAACCTTTTGTGAATGATTCTTGCGCGCACACACACACACACACACACACACACACACACCGCCCCCAATCTAATGTTAGCAGGCTGCGCCGCGATGTGTGGAGGCGTCGATCTGTCGGCTGGCCGAAATCCTACGCCCCGCTGGCGATGCCAACCAGCACTGAACAGGGGGCGCGCGGGGCGCGTCGAAGCCGGCCTTGGCACCCTGGCCGCGCGGGTGGTGCAGGACTTCCGCCGTCCACCGGCGCAGCAGAGCCGGACCCTCGATGGAGAGACGAGCGGAACCACCGACTCACAGCCAAAGCTGCTCCCAGACACACAAGGGTGCAGGCTGTCAGGGGACAGCCTCCACCACGCTGGAGCCCGACCTTTGGGTCGGGGGGAAGGGGGGGGGGTGATGAGCACGGTGTCGACGACGAGGGGGGGGGTCCACTTCTGCGTCCCCTTCCCGGAGGAGGGCCAGTCGAGAGAGAGTGGCGGCCCTGGCTCACGCTGGTCTCGGGCCTCCTCGGCGGCCGGGGCCTCCTCGGCGGCTCTCTTTCCACGCCGCGCCTGGACTCGCCTCCAGGAGCGGGTCCCCTCCTGGAAGCCCCATCCTCGGGTGGATGGGGAGCGAGAGGAGGGGGAATTTGGAGCCGCCTCCTCCTCCAACTCATCCTCCTCCTCCCCCTCCCCTCTCCCTCCTTCTCGTCCTCCTCCTCCTCATATTATTACGTTTCGCCTTATTATTGGTAGTATGATGACTATTATTGTTACTATTATTCGTATTATTATACTGATTAGAATTGTTGTTAGTGTTCCTATTCGCAGTCTGCCCATCAGTAATATTAGCATTCGTCTTCTTAGGATTAGTATTGCTAGCATTACTCTCAGTATTAGTATTAGTAATCTTCAGACTATAAATATCATTGATCGCATTAGTACTATTGTTATTACTACTCTTATGATTATTAGTAGTACTAGTAGTAGTAGTAGTAGTAGTAGTAGTAGTAGTATTGTAACCGGCAAAGCTCCTGAGGAGCTCAAAAAGAGCAAACCCCCTATTATTATCGAAAAAATAAAAACAAGTTGCCCCCTATTATTATCGAAAACATAGAAACAAACCGCCCTCTATTAATATCATAAAAATACAGGCGGCATTCCTATTTCGCTCGTATTATTTCTGTATTGTTTTTGTATTAATAATTCCCAGCCCAAAGGCTCACAACGTATTGCCGAAAATGCTCAAAATACACAAATAATATCAAAATAATATGAAAACCGCATGCAAACCAGACAAGCTCACAACAAAAACAGCTGATCCCGCGCAGCAGTGGATATAACCAACAGGGAACGGATCGTGTGCAGCGCTTCCTCTCTTCCTCCACCTCGTTTGCTTCCCTTCCTTTGTCGTTTCCTGCCGTCGTCCCTCCTCCCCGCCCCCTCGTCCTCGCCCACCCCTGCCTACCGTCGCCTTCCTCCTCTGCTCGTCCACCTCCCTTCCGGCCCCCCACCCCTTCTAAGACTCTTCTCATCTTCCCCCTCTCCTGTTCTGGCCCCTGCCTGAGCAGAACAATCGACGCGGCCGCCGCGCGCCGGGCTCGCCGTCGCGTCTGCCGTTGCACTGCGCGCGACGCGCGCGACCTATTTGACAGAAAGCACGTCGGAGCAATGCTGGGAAAACGCGCAAACAGTGGTTTGCCCGAACCCATGAACCAGGCGCCCAGAGCACGTCGCACTGTTCCCACTCCATGAAGAAATCAGCATTGCTAGTTGCTGCTACAAAGCTGCCACAACCAGGTCGCTGACATGCGACTCGAGCGCCTGCCCGAGCGTCGCTGCCACTAGGTCACTAGGACTAGTGACGAGTGACTAGGCCCCCCTGAAAGGATTTGCAGCGTTCGTTGCTCCCACCAGGCCGACTTGCATGAGTCATGAGGTTTGCCTCAATTCGGTTCCAGCGCCTCCAAGCGAAGTAGAGATCAGCGTTGCCACGCTGGATCCCACCGGGCATCACGAAACAAAAAATGTCGCAACGCCGAGTTCGACTCCAATGCCTGCCCGACTGCGAGCATTGCCAGCAGCTGCCAGCATTGACCCTGCCAAGGCACATCAGAGGATTCCAGCTCGAGCTCGTTGCCCCTGCCATGCCGCACGCGTGGATGTTTGCCAAGAGTTCGGCCCCAGTGGCGCCAGCGCCTGCCCGACTTGTAGAACTGGTAAACGGTAAACCCACCGCCCCTGCGGGTAGCAAGCCATCCTGGATCATCCTGACTCAACATGCACCAGGCCACAATGGCACAATGGCAGTCTGCCGTGCCGTAATTTGCTGGATCTCCCGATCGGCCCGAGCGCGACTTGGACTTGGAATGAACCAGCATGGCGCCAGCGATGGCCCAGGCCAACGCCCGGGCCTGCCCATGCCCCGCCCAGAAGCTCTGGGTGCAAGACATGACCGCGCTCGACGTCGACGAGTCCGACTGCGCTTGGCTTGGCGTTCGCCGGGGCTGCGCCGGGGCCGGCGCCCTCCAGCCTCGCGCAGAACGTCGCCGCAGTGCGCGGCCTGGGCCCGTCAAGCCAACTGGCACCCCAGCACTGACGTCTTCAGCGCCGAGGGCCGCCAGCCGAACGGCCGAGAACAAGGGGAACTAGATCCTGACAGGTCTCCGAAAAGTAGGTAATCCCTCCGGCCACCCTCTTCGCGCGAACTGGAAAAATAAGTGTTCTCCCGGGGAGATGTATTTTTCTTATATAATTATAAAAAAATAGAAAAATCATGTGGGAAAAACTATTTTTTTACTATTTTAATAGTTTTTGCGTTTCGTTTTTTATATTTTTTGCAAAAATACAAAAACGCCGAAACTGAAAAATACCCGCCCGCCCCGGGCGCACCCTCGCCGCGTGCTTCCCGATCTGCTCCCCGGCTCCCCTCCCGGGGGCGGCTCTGCAACCTCTGCGGGCGTTGCCTGGGCGGCCTTGGCGCGGGACATCGTCGTCGTCGTCTGGTCGTCGGGCTCCTCGGCTGGAGGCCCCGCGCCTGTTGGCCGTGCTCTGGCTCCCGAGTTGGAGGCTCCGCGCCTGTTGGCTGCGCTCTGGCCTCCCGCCTGTTGGCCGGGCCCGGGGCCCGCCCGATGCCCGACGCCGTGGGGGGCCTCGGGCCCGTCGCCCCCAGCGCGCGCGACGTCGACGCCAACGGGCGGCGCGACAAGGATAATCAAAAAAGCAGATTGGCCTCGGCCCCGGCCCCTGCCCGAGGGCTAAAGTTAGGCTAAAGTTCGGCTAAAGTCACATGCGTTGGGGCGCTGGGCCCCAGGCCGCAAGGGCGCAAGGCGCAAGGGCTACCTAGCACTTACTTACTAACTACAATTACTACAGCCTCTGGTCTGCCAAATGGAACCGAAACCGATGATTGCAACGAACCGCTGGCCGACGGCCCGACGGGCACGGTCGCGGCGCCATGGCCAATTCAATTGCCAAGTGCCCATCCCATGCCATGCCCCCATGGCCCCATGGCCCAATGCCCATGGACGGCAATGGATCGGGCCAGCCAGAAGGTCTGCAGGCTGGGGGCTCAGTCGCTCAGTCCCAAGGCTTGCACAAAACAAACAGAGCGCGTCCGTCTCGGCCCTGGCCCTCCAAGGCGCGGCGCGGCGCATATGTCCAGACGAGGGCAGACATATTGACAACAATTACAAAATCAGGCGCTGCACCGGTGTGCAAACTGCACGCAGGCCCAGGCGCAACATGCCTGCATGCCGCGCGCGGCCCCCTGATCGCGCCAGATAAATGACCGAAGGGGGGGCGGCAATGACGGGGCGCTGTGGTGGCGCTGCTGGCGGCGGCACTGCAACTGCAATGTGACCACGTTGGCAATGTGGCAGCGCTGGCCCCACGACGGCGGCAACCTGTCGGGGGCCGCTCGTCGCTCGTGCTCGCGGCCCGCGGTGATCGCGGCCTGGGCCCGCGGCCAGGCCAGGCCAAACCAAGGGCGAGCGACCGCCTGCGCTCGCAAGGGCTACCCGGCTACCAGGCAGCGGCCACCAGCAGTGAACTTTACTGTTACTACTAATGCTGCTTTCGTAGGGGGTCCGACTCCTAAGTAGGGTCGCGCTGGGGTAATCCCTCCCCTCAAAGCCACTCTTCCTTTCCCTTTCCTCCTTATCCATACCTTCCCCCCTCGCCTCCCTTTCCCTACATCTTTCACTTCCTGGCCGTTCCCCCCCTCCCTGTTGCGGTGCCCCCCCTTTCCCGGGCGGGCCTCGCCTGCAGAATCAGGGTCCGAAGGCTCCGAAGGCTCCCACATCAGCCAACGGAGCCCAAGTGGCTGCGGGGCGAAAGCACGAGCAACGAAAGGAGGGGCAACAGGAACACGGGCGCCACATCCCCCGGGCAACGGAGGAGGAGGGGAGGAGTGAACCGCAGGTTCTCCGGGGGAGCCCAGGCTGTGGAGAGTCATGCCCTACCTTTTCCCCGGGGAAATTGCCTAAACGTATTATTATATTATATATGCACATGCACATTTTTCTATTCTTCTCATATTATTAGCATCCTTGCTGTGGAAGTGCTGCTCAGGTGTTTGCCGCTTATAATAGTAGTAGTAGTAGCAGTAGTAGTAGCAGTAGTAGTAGTAGTAGTAGTAGTAGTAGTAGTAGTAGTAGTAGTAGTAGTAGTAGTAGTAGTAGTAGTAGTAGTAGTAGTAGTAGTAGTAGTAGTAGTAGTAGTAGTAGTAGTAGTAGTAGTAGTCGTAGTAGTAGTCGTCGTAGTAGTCGTAGTCGTAGTAGTAGTAGTAGTAGTAGTAGTAGTAGTAGTAGTAGTAGTAGTAGTAGTAGTAGTAGTAGTAGTAGTAGTAGTAGTAGTAGTAGTAGCAGTAGAAGTAGTAGTCGTAGTCGTAGTCGTAGTCGTAGTCGTAGTCGTAGTCGTAGTCGTAGTCGTAGTAGTAGTCGTAGTAGCAGTAGAAGCAGCAACAGCAGTAGTAGTAGTAGTAGTAGTAGTAGTAGTAGTAGTACGATTCCTCTTCCTCCTCCTCCTCCTCCTCCCCCTCCCCCTCCTCCTCCTCCTCCTCCTCCTCTTCATGTACGGCCCAAGGGGCCATCGGGAAACTAAAAGCCTGTCGGCGCGCCGCGCGGACCTCCGGGGACGGGCCCCAGGGGGGGCGGGGCAGGAGAGGCGAAGATGAGGAGGAAGATTATGTGGCAACTCGTCGGAGCCACCCATGCCCTCTTGTTGGCCCTGGCAAGTCGACGCTAATCGACGCTATCTGCGCTGAATCGATGCTGATCGACGCTACTCGACGCTAATCGGCGCTAAATCGGCGGTATCCCACCGATTACCATACGGTACTCGACGCTAGTCGACACTTAAGACGGAATCACGAAGGTTTTCGTACAAGAATCCCACGACTTGCGACCCAAGGACAAGGAGGCACGACAGGGAGAGGGGGGGGCAAGACTGCAAGACCCTGCGACTCTTTTCCAGGAGCAGGAGGCCCCTGGTGACTGGGAACTGCAGGAGCAACCACCAGAATTCAGGGGGAGAAAACGGGGACCATGACCAAGACTGAACGCGGAAACGACGTGTCGATCTGGGTCACCGTCGCCCCTGGTCAGCCTCAATTCGTGGCTCATCCCCGCGAGTGGGTGACGGCCGACATGGACCATGACCAAGAAGATCGGCATCAACAAAATCCCGTGGCATCTAGGTCATGGTCTCCGTGTTTCCCTCAACAGAAGGAGGGTTCCGGGGCCCGAGCGCGCGACGCCTGTCGCCCAGGCCAAGTCGCCGCAGGCCCAGGGACACCGAGCCCTGGGGGGCAGCTCTGGACACTGATGGCGCCACCGCCTCTGCCCGGTCGTGAGCGGGTTCGGGCTGTTGGTGGGGCAGGAAGAATATCTTCAAGCTTTCTCTCCTGGTGCTCGGGTCATGGACACTCGCCCGCAAGCACGGTGACCATCCATCGTCGTCGTCGTCGTCGTCGTCGTCGTCGTCGTCGCTGCCGTCCCCCAGCACAGCCCATCCAGGCTGCCGCCCGCGCGTCGTCCTTGTCCACGAGGAAAGCGGCGACGACGAGCACCCCGAGCATCGCCTTCCCCGCCCTCTGCTCGTCGAGGACTTGACGAGCTCTGCTGTCCCTCGACCCGCGCTGGAGCTCCCACGACTTGTTTTCTGGCGGCTCCGCGCTGACACCGCGCGGGAGGCCCCGACACCACGCGCAAGCCGAGGGCCGGGCCCAGAAAGGTCCTCGCGCTCCTGGCGCTCCTGGCGCTTCTGGCGCTCCTGGCGCTCCTGACGCTCCCGACGCTTCCGATGCTCCCGCCGCTCCCGACGCTCCCTCATCATCATCATCATCATCATCATCATCATCATCATCATCATCATCATCATCATCATCATCATCATCATCATCACCATCATCATCAGCAGCAGCAGCAGCATCATCACCACCATCATCATCATCATCATCAGCATCATCAGCATCATCAGCATCATCATAATGATGATTATCATCCTCATCAGCATCCTCAGCATCATCTTCATCATCAGCATCAGGAGCATCATCATCACCATCAGCATCATCAGCATCATCAGCAGCAGCATCAGCCGTATCAGCAGTACCATCATCATCATCAGCAGCAGCAGCATCACCACCATCAGCAGCATCATCATCAGCAGCATCATCAGCATCATCATTAGCAGCCGCATCATAATCGTCATCATCACCATCATCATCATCATCATAAGCAGCATCATCATCATCATCATTACCATCAGCAGCGTCAACATGATCATCATCACCATCATGAGCAACATCGGCATCAGCATCACCATCAGCATCAGCAGAATCAGCATATTCATCATTTGCAGCAGCAGCAGCACCATCAGCAGCATCATCATCAGCATCATCATCAGCATCATCAGCAGCATCATCAGCAGCATCATTATCATCATCACCATCAGTGGCACTCACAATCATCATCAGCATCATCGTCATCACCACCACCACCACCATCATAATCATCATCATCATCAGCATCGTCATCAGCATCATCAGCATCAGCATCAGCATCCTCATCATCACCATTAAGGGCCATCTCAATCATCATCAGTATCATCGTCACCACCACCACCACAATCACCATCATTATCATTATCATCAAGAACAGCATCAGCATCATCATCATCAGCGACATCAGAATCCTCATCATGATCAACAACATCTTCATAAACATCATCAGAATAGTATTCCTCATCACCATCACCAGCAGCATCAGCATCAGCATCATCCGCATCATCATCATCATCAACCTCATCATCATCAGCATTAGCATCCTCTGCAGTGACACTATTATCACGATCACCCGCATCATCATAATCATTATAGTCATCATCATCACCACCATCATCATCATCATCATCGTCATCGTCATCGTCATTATCATCATCAGCAGCAGTAGCATTATCACCATCATAAACATCATCATCATCCGCCTCATGATCATCAGCATCATCACCATCATCATCATCATCATCCCCATCCTCAGCCTCAACCTCATTCCTTTTTAACGTCCTCCTCATCCTCATCCTCCTAAGTACTTCCCCCATCGCTCCTTCTCCGCCCTTTCTCCACTCCCCGCCGACGAGGACGACGACGACGACGACGACGACGACGACGACGACGACGACGACGACGACGGACGACGGACGACGGACGACAACGACGGCGCCCCTCCCCCTTGGGCCGACCAGGGTGAGCATGCCCTCGAGCAGGTCCACCTGCTGCGGCGACGTGCCTGCGTGGAGGGCGGAGGTCGCCGGAGCAAGAGGAGGGCGGCTGCACTGACATTTGCATTTATATATATACACACACACATACGCACGTATGAGTGCTCGTGTGCTAACCCCCGGCTCTAAGATCGAACTGTGTCTCCTTTACGAGGCAAAATACAGAACTACGTCGACATGTAAGAGCCTCATGCGCGCGAGTCACCCCGGCCACTCACACCAGAGCATCTCGCCTATCGTCAAAGAACCGATATTGGCCGATAGACTGAAGGCTATCGGTCCATGTGTTACCCGTCTTGTTTCCTTACCCCCCGGATCATGTTGGAGGGGATTGGAATAAACCCGCATAGCAGGCGCCCTGGGCTGCGAAGCTACATACAGCCTCGTACCCCCCCGGCTGCCAAGGTCATGCACCTTGCTTTCGTGGAAGGCCGATCCGATCCAATCATCCCTCTACCAGTCCCCCTCCTCCTCCTCCTCCTCCTCCTCCTCCTCCTCTTCCTCCTCCTCCTGCTCTTCCTCCTCCTCCTCGTCCTCCGATTCCTCCTCCATCGCCCCCATCTTGGGGTATGACGGCGTCCCCAGCCCGTTCTTCCACTGCATGCTCCTCCACATCCGATCAGGGCAACTCGCCTAGCCATCTTAGCTGGATGGGCTGGTCGGGTTACTTTTTTGATTAGCGGCTCAAAGGACAGATCCAGCGAGCGGGAAGAGATCGTCTGGGGCACAGAGCGAGATAATTGGCTGCAGAGGCGCATAGGCCGCTGTAGCGAGTGCACATGCCAGGGACAAAATGACCCTCATTGGGGGCTGACGCTGGCGGCCCGACGCTGGTCGGGTTACGCGAAGCGTCTAGAGTAGTAAGCTTCCACGAGCCTCCAACCAATAGGTCAGCGAAAGAATGCGTGGTTGACTCCTGAGTCTGCTCGGGCGGATCCCGAGCTTCAGTTCCACGGCTGCCCTCCACTCTGTTCCACCGCTTGCTCCTACACGTTCCTGATCAATCCTCAGCATCGTTTCTGGATGAGCTGATGGGGAGTCAGTGGCTTCCGGGAGGACCCCAAGAAGATTCCAAAGGCTCCCGAAAGGACACCTCGCGTTCACGGGCAAACAGCCAGCTTGCAAGCGCTTGTATGACCGATGCCAAGAGCTGCGACTGTTCCCTCACACATGGCACAGCGCGCCCGGTCGCGTTGGACCATTATCGTCGCAGTCCAAACACGTGCATGGTGCAGCGGCCTCTGCCTTGCAATAATGCGTCGAAGCCCCCCAGGCTCTGACCAATATGTCACAAAAGGGCTTCAAACTTTAGCCTCGCTGCATCGCTGCGCAGTTTTGTCCGAGCAGCGTACACTCAGGTGCAACTTCACCTGCAGCCATGCCACTTCCTCTTGCTGATCTATATACGTAAGCTCCGTGGGAACCCTGGCGGGATCACCGGTTCCCCGAGCGCCCCGGGGAGCCCGAAACAGCACCGGAAGGTGCCTGGAGGGCCCCGAAACGGCACCGGAGCTCCCCAGAAGAGCTCCGAGACGGCCCAAGGAGGCCCTGAGACGACCAAAAACAGCGCCGAGATGACCCAAGACGGCCCAAGATGCTCCCAAGACGGCCCCATAACCCGTCAAGACGCCCAAGACAGCTCCGAGGGGACACCCTACAGGGCGCCAAGAGGCCGAAATCGTAGATTTCCTTCTTGGGTTTCCTGCGGATTCTGAGAATCTCGCGCTTTCGACCGTCTGGACCCCCAAGACGGCCCAAGAGCCCTCCAGCATCGCAACGAGACGGCCCAAGAGGCGCCCAAGCGAGCCCCAAGACACCCCAGGAGGGGCACAAGGAGGGCTCAAGAGATCCCCAAGACGGCACCATAAAAACCCAAGAGGCCCCCAAGATGACCCAACAAGCCCCCAAGAGGCCCCCAAGGCAGGCCAAGAGGGCCCCGAGTCTGCCCACGAGGGCCCCAAGACGGCCGAAGATGCTGTCAAGACGGCCCCAGAGCGCCCAAGACGCCCCAAAAGAGCCCCAGGAGGACCCCCAAGAGGGCCTGAAGAGGCGAAAATCGTCGATGTCACTTCGCTTGTCGATCGCATGCCGCAGCTTGCTGGTATTTGCGCACCAGAGATAAAGGCGCGCGTCGGTAAACTTCGACTCACGCAGCTCCGTGGATATGGTTCACGGGTCCACACTAATATATACAAGTGGCACGTGTGTGCCCAGGCTCATACAACAAGCTGAAGGGGCGTTTGAAGCAGGAGTGACATGCAACAGCGAAGTCGCACTCGAGCGCAAGTGGGGTTGCCACACCTTGCGATGTGTGTACCAGGGCCCCCCAGGAAGCCTCAGGAGGCCCGACTTGGATACCAGAAGAGGCTCCAGGAGGCCCCAGGATTGTGAGTGTGTGTGTGTGTGATGTGTGCTTTGTGTGGTGCGTGCTTTTTGCGTGTTGTCGGTGTGTGTGTGTGTGTATGTTATGTTTGTCTAGCGTGTGATGTGTTGGGCGTGATTTGTGTCTCTGTGTGTGCATGTAGTTCTGAAGCCCCAGGAGGCCCCAGGAGGCCCCAGGCGGCCTCAGCAGGCCCAGGAGAACTCCAGGAGGCTCCGAGGCGGGGTCTGGGGTACCAGAAGGTCCAGAAAGCCCCAGGAGGCCCCAGGAGGTTCCAGGAGGCCCCCAGGAGGCTCCGAGGAGGGGTCTGGGGCTCGATTTTGGGAGGATGTCTCAGGCGAAACCGCCATTCTCTGAGAATCGGAGTCAAAATCATTGAAATTACCATGTGTTTTTGAAGGTTTTATGATAAAATGTTGGAAATCCTATGTGTTTTTGACCCTGACGTCACGATCTGCGTGAGGGGTGCCACCGATTTTCAGAATTTCGAGGATGTCCCGAGCGAAACGGCCAGAAAAATCGCAAACGACGGACGCATGAATCGCCTCTGAGCTCTACTCCCTCGGAGAGGTGCGTATGATAATATATATATATGTATATATATATATATATTGTATACACCTGCATATATATATATATATACATAAACATATGCCAATGCCGGTGACCAGGCTGTTTTGTAAAGGGCGGGTGACCACATGTGCACGCATGATGACAACTAATGTATGTGCAAAAAAAGCGAGTGGGCACGTGCGCGGGGCGCATACGAAAGTGTATGGATATGCGTTTCTTCGTGTGCATGTATAAATGAGAGACATATGCGCGTAACTCTATACATAGAGAGAGAGAAGGAGAGAGAGAGAGAGACAGACAGAAAGAAAGAAAGAAAGCCCGCGTACACGTGTGCGCACATCCTTGTCCTCTGCCGCTTGATGCACCACGCCCCGTTCGAGCAGCCGGCTGCGCCCACCGCAGAGCGGCACGCGCGCCTTCCAGGACCACCCAGATCCAGAGGTAGGCCAGGACGGACACCACGGAGGTCACTCCGAACACCTGTGCCCCGTGGGACTGAGGGGGAGGAGGAGGAGGAGGAGGAGGAGGAGGAGGAGGAGGAGGAGGAGGAGGAGGAGGAGGAGGAGGAGGAGAAGAGGAGGAGGAGGAGGAGGAGGAGGAGGAGGAGGAGGAGGGGGGGGAGGAGGAGGAGGAGGAGGAGGAGGAGGAGGAGGAGGACTGGGCTCGAGTCGAAGGAGCACGAGGGGCGAGGCGGCGGGAGGGGGCAGGGGCAAAAGGGGGGCAGGGGCAGGGGCCAAGGGGGGGAGTCCCTCCCTCCCCCCCCCCTCCCCCCCTCCCCCCCCTCCCTCCCCCCTCCCTCCCTCCCTCTTTCCCTCCCCCCCTCCCTCCTGACACCAGAATCGAAAGAGCCAGATGCGTGCTCCTGGAGCCTCCAAGCGAACAGAAGCACTCTTGATGACTGTGCGGCGGTATGCTTGCGTCGAATCATGATGCTATAACCTCTCAGGTCTGATTGTAGAGGCCTCCTGGATGGGGTCGGAGCAGATGGGGTCGGGAGGTCGTGCCGCATCGCCGATGCATCGGCGATGCATCAGCGATGCACTGGCGATGCATCTTCGACGTGGGCGATGCACCGGCGACGTCGACGTGAAGCCAATCGGACTCCACATCGAGCCGCATCGGCGATGCATCGGCAATACGGCACGATCCTTCGATCCCATCTACTCCGACCCTATCTAGGAGGCCTCGAGATTGAAGGATCTGGCAAGGCAAAGAGTTGCACCCCCAATAGCAACTGAGCGACTACGCAGTGTTGGCGGCGCGCAACGGGGGGTAGGTGGAGGGGGGAAGGCTTCTTAGAAGGCTGCTTCTCAGAAGGTGCAGGCCTTGCGTCTACAGACAAGGCCCGCACCTTCTAAGAAGCAGGGGTGCTTCTAAGAAGCCTGCCCCCTTCCCCCTACCCCCCCTTTGCGCGTGGCCGAATCTGGCAATGCAAAGAGCTGCACCCCCGATGGCAACTGAGCGACTACGCAGTGTTGGCGGCGCGCAGAGGGGGGAAGGTGGAGGGGGGAAGGCTTCTTGGAAGCAGGGGTGCCTCTAAGAAGCCTTCTCCCTTCCCCCTGCGACCCCCCCCCTCGGCGCGTGGCCGAGGAGGAAGAGGCCCGCCGGGCCTCGGGACTGTCAAAAAAACGGCTCGGGAGGAAGAACTGGTCCCAGGGAAGGGGAGGAGGAGGGGGAGGAGGAGGAGGAGGAGGAGGAGAAGGAGGAGGACCAGTGCAAACTCAAGAGTCATCAACGATGGTGGAATAAACCCTCCCTCCAAGCTCTGCCTAGGCCCCTACACCGACAGCGGTTCATTTCCACTGAGGGAACTGCCTCGTTGGAAGAAAACCGTTTGAGGACCCTGAAGCATGCCAAAACACTGTTCTGGGGATTCCAACAACACGGATCAACCTGACTGATGCGTCTTGACGACCCTGAATCGCGCCAAAACGCCATTCCCGGGACTTCATCACCGCGAATCGACGTAACTGGTGCACCCTCATAATCCTGAGTCCTTCCAGAACAGCATTTCTGGTACGCTGATCATGGGAATCCGTGGAACTCTCGCAAATGGTATAAACGAATGTGCGCGGCGCTAAGGCGAGAACCACATTTTGGAAAGGAACCGCCCTCAATCCGTGAAACTCTTGCAAATCTGTAAAGCGAATGCACGCGGCGCTAAGACGAGAGCCACATGTTGCAAACGGGTCGCCATCAGTACGCGAAACGCTTGCAAAAAATTGAAACGAATGCGCGTGGCGCCAAGGCGAGAGCCACGTGTTGAAAACGACCCGCCCTCGATGTGTGAAACTGTGTCAACGGTTAAGCTTAAGGGTCATAAATGTTGAGGAAGTCTCACGCGAAACGCCCGGTCCGCCCTAAAAACTGGCCTCGGAGTGCGACAGGGAGAAATTATTTTGAAGGAACAGGAGTGAGGAGGAGGAGGAGGAGGAGGAGGCAGAGGACTGAGGAGGAGGAGGAGGAGGAGGAGGTGGAGGACTGAGGAGGAGGAGGAAGAGGAGGAGGAGGAGGCGGAGGATCTTGTGGCCAGACGAAAATTATGGCGTCGGGGGTCTGTGTCGGGCTGTCCCTCAGCCCCCAGGTTTTCGCACGGCTGGCCCGCCCTGCCCTGTCTGGGACACACGAGTACTCATGTGTCCTCCTTGAAGGCGTGCGTCCGACCCGAACATTTAGTACAGCCATCTTGTACTACATCGTTTCCCGAGCGGTGTGGCCAGAGAGCATCCACCACCGAGCACCTACTATAAGATTTCTCGGCGCGCGCGTCGCCCCTTTGGGGGCGACGCACCCATCAGACGAAGAAAACACGGCATAAACATAAACGTTTGGTGCGCCGCGCGGATTTCTTGGATCTGCGCTGGACCCCTCTCCCTGGCGCGCGGAGCGCACAAGGGCGGCGCCGGAGGCGCCACCGCGGGGCCCAGCGTGGATCCAAGAGATCCGCGCGGAGCACCAAAAGTTTATACTTATGGCGTTG